ACATTAGAAAAAAACAATTTGAAGAAGTTGTAGTTCTTTCTTTCCTTGAATATTCATTGTTACATAACTTGCATTTAACTCGTTTAGCATCGCAAAGTGTGAAATAAGTTCATATTTCACTACAATTTGATTTACTCATGTTAATAAATCACTAGTCCAACTCTAACCTCAAAATTCACTTGTTTTGTTTAAGATAAGACCGACGCGAGCGGAATGACACTTCAGTCGGATGAGTTCATATCAACTCGGCAATTCAAACGAGACTATCACCATGCCATAGACAATTGGCGCCAATTTTGAACAAAAACTAAATATTCGCATCCGCATTCGCGAATGTTCAAAAATGACATTCGTTACATTACTAGTATGTTTGTTATTTCTTCACTTCTAAACGTCTGGAGCGGTTTTAATAAAATTTGGTATGGAGTTAGCTGACATCCTGGATTAACACATAGGCTACGTTTTACTGCGGGAAAATACCCTAATAAACCGCGAGTAACACCGCGGGACACAGATAGTAGCTTATAATTTCAATTTGTTGTTTGTGACCACCGAAGGTTTTCAAATGCCTCCAGCTCTTTTACGTTGTCAATAATAATAAATAATGAAAATAAGCGCGTAGTATTTTTTGAAAACCTTCGGATTACGTAAATTGATTTTTCCAGAAAATAAATAAAAAAAACTTCATCAATGTAAAACTTTTAATGTAATCCACATTAAAGTTGCCTAGCACAAACAATAAAAACAAAAATTACTATTTATTTTACTCTAATAAATAAAATCAATTTTAAACTATGAGTTGAATAACAATATTTATAAACCTTTTAGTTAGATGTTACGCCGGTCGCCGAGTGCTGGTTTTAAATAAATGATGGGTCTAAATTCTTTAATAATAAAACTTAATTTGATAACAATATATCCTTTTCATGTCCACAAACCACACAAATCCACATAAAAACCACAGACAAATAAATGCGCAGTAAACGTTTTTGTCTGTAAAATTGGTACTGCGCAAGCTTTCCTGTTTATGGCTGTTGCACAAGAAGTTATCCGGGATGTGTATCAAATTAAGATTTAAGAAACCAGATTACCATCTTTAAAAAGAATTAAAGAATATAATTATATATAAAAAGAGTCTTGAATTTGCATTCTCATGAGTTTTGAAAAACACAATACACATAATTCTTTTCGAGCAATACAAGGCAAACCCTTAGCACTATCCAGTATGGAATTCGATCTGGATACGCGATAAATGTCAAGAAGTTTTAATGGTTTTGAACAGCGCCACAACGGACGTAACGAGAATTGAAAAAACATCTATACAAAACATTTGACGCGTAACTTGTTCGAATTCAATATCGGTTCGTGCTAAGGCTGTTTTATAAAATTTTATACAGAAAGTCTTATTATATTTACTGATGGATGGTACTCGCGCGACCGACAAAAAACTAGGTACTAAATTCTACAAAAAAGAGGACTGATCTATTAAAGAATCTTCTGAAGCATGATCAGTTCTTTTTTACTAGAACATTTTTAACTTAAAAATACGTTTTAAAAATAAGGTCAATTTGGTATGAGACATCCAATTGGACATGAAGTGTGGGACTTTAGATATGGAGTCGAACGATTTTAAATATCGACAAATAAAAAGATTTATAAATTATATACATATTTGCTATGTAGTAACTTGTGTTCCAAAAATAAGTTGCTACTTATATAAAGATATACGTATCGATAATTTTCACATATAGTCAAGGAATTTGATTATAATTTTGACTTCTCACATTGAACAGCACTTGCGTGCATTTAGGTTTGTGATAGAAAGAATTTATATAATTTTTGATTGTTATTTAAAGAAGCTTAAATAAGATTATACGAAAAAGTGTGGGTCGCAGCAAAATCCTTGAGCAAAACCACAGACAAATAAACTTGCGCAAGTTGCGCAGTAGACTTTTCAGCCGCGTTCGGTATTTGCATCGCAGAGGCGACGGATTTTTGGTCACGTTATCACAGATTAATCTGAGAAAATTGCTATTACCGAACTTCCCGACCAGCCATAGATTAATTTCTAACCTCAAACAGAAACTAACCTAACAACATGACAGATAACTAGATTAATCTTTCGCGTCGGTCAAAATACTCCGATCAAACAGATTTACATCGAACTGGGGTCTACCAGCGTTGCCAGTTTTTTTTTGCAAAGTCTGGATTTGGTCTTTTTGAATGAAGAAAGCGGGATTGTTTCGTCGAAAGCGGGACATATTAAAAAACATATTTAATCAAAACTTATTGAATATTTATCTTCATTGCGCGCCGAGCAGGCTGCCAGTCCACACTTGTCTGTGCCACCCGTCCGCGCTTTCTCAGTACGCTGCACGCACGGTCGAGCTATTCGGGATTGAGCCTGTCCCGCGCGGGACATTAAATTTTAATTTAAAAATCGGGACATCTGGCATCTCAGGGGTCTACTCTCTTTCTTCGAAACGAACTTTCGATAACGAAGTTCAAACGATATTTATTTTCGTCAATTTGAGGTTATACTTAATTTGAACGATAAACTATCAAATTGAAGCTTTCTTTAAATAGGCTTAGAAAATCTACACCTCAATCTATATTTCGACGACAAATATTATTATAATTAAAAACTAACCAGACACATAGTAATAAAAGTGCGAAGTTTCGATCGAAATTTCGTTTTTCGTTGAATTAGAGTAGTCCTCCTGATCCGATCTGAATTGCGGAACGCTTCAGATTTACTCTAGATGTAATAAACGAACGATTCAGACTTAAAAAGATTTATAAGACGCAATTAACGAACGCAGGTTTTGTATGTAAAATTGCTACTGTGCAGGCAATTTGGCGGCCATTTTGAGACCTTGTCTGTGGTCCTTGTTCAAGAACTTTGCTGAGATGTACAACACTGAAACTCCCATTGTTTTCATGCAAATATTGTTTGTTTTTACACAATATAGAGTCAGGATTAAAATTATGTATATAAATATAGTACTTCATTAATTTTCATAATTGTTTATGATTCGATATATTTCTATTCGTGATATTAAAATAATCTTAACAAAACTTCGTCAGGTTTTCATTGATTTGACATTTAATGATTACCTACACTATGACCAAAATATTACTATAGAACCTCGGAAGTTTTATCAAAATGTCCAATTATGAACAGTTGTTAAACATTTCAGACATTCAGTTAGTCGCTGACCAATACGAGACTGTGTACTAAAAAAAATACATTTTAACGGAATTAAATTTGTCATTCTCTACTTTGGATGGATACTTTGTTGAACCATTTAATTGAATATTGACCAATTAGTACATTTGTATCGCACAGACAATAAAAGTTGCTGGCAGTTAGGTGTAGGTCGCGACCATAGAGGTATAAGAATAGAGTAGGGGAGATGTAGACTCTACTACAAGTGAAAGTGTCCCTCTAATAGAAAGAGAAAGAAGATGAGAGACCGCTAGCTTTCTCTCTCTAATCGCGCATGCGCATTGGCATCAGTTACCATCTTACTATTTCGATGTGATGCTATTGGATGCCATGCGTCACAAGAGAGAGAGATAGCTAGCGGTTTCTCATCTTCTTTCTCTATCTACTAGACCTGCCCCACTCTATTCTTATACCTCTATGTGTATCTCGCGACAAACTACTTGAGCGAAACCATAGACAAATTAAATTGCGCAGTAGACGTTTTTGTATGTAAAATTGCTACTGCGCAAGATTCCTTGTCTGTTTTCGTAGGTCAAGAAGTTTGCCACAAAGCCTTACTGGCGCTCTGAAGCTATTATATGTAGTTATCTGTACGTACCATAACTTTGGTACTAAAAAAGCCAATAATCCATTAAAATGAGCGAAAAAAATAGTTGAGTAGAAAAAAAAAACTGTCTCAAAAGTATATTCTAGTACTTTTGAGACAGAAACTGCGTACCGAGGCTATTAGATAGTGTAGAACTACTGTACAATAACATTATCATACAAATATATTTGTTTATATACTTAGTAATATATCGCTAACGCTCAATACATTTTATTTATACATTAGGGTACCTACTTAAAAGATACATTTTCATACTTACAAATAGTTTTTTTTTAATTTTAACATTAACTCTTATAGCTACAATGTGTTTTACCTTAAATAGTGTTTGTATGGAGAAATGTATTGTTCGAATTATTCAATGAGGCGATAGTGAATTTTCCGTACCTAATCATAATTAATTTCAATCTTTTGGAATACATTAGTTTAGAAATTAAGCACACACCAAACACACACACACACACAACACAGTCACATTTGAACATAAAAACTATGGATTGTTAAATATTACTGTGTATTTAAAATGTTTTTTTTTTATATAGTAGTATAATTTGGTCATCTAATAGCTTAAATAATAATACTTAATATTTACAAAACTTGTCTAGGCGTGTAACACCACAAGAAAACAATATTTAAAAAAAATCAGTCATAATTTTTTCAACACTACATCTATGTATATATTTCAGCGTCTGAATTCACAGTTTTATTTATAATATAACTCATGTTAATAAAGAAAAGAATCGCAAATAACGACTAAAGACATTCTGTCCCAGACAGAATTTTCGACGGCTTTCTTTAAATGACACGAGTTATAGAAACAGTTTAATGCTATTGCTATATAAAAAGAAATTCACGTCTTTCTTTTATCATCTCGTAGAAGTTATGGTTGGAAACTTACAGATAAAGATGTTGTATCCATCTTGCGGGACAGCGTTATATACGAAGATGGAGATACGGAATCTCTTTTACGTCTATAGCGTTGTAATGCTGAATCCAGCAAGACGAATAGGCTGTAGAGGACTTAACTTGAAGTTAGCTACAAGATGTCTAGTATTCCGAACATAGAGCTATAAGCATAGAGTGGGGAAGGTAGCTCTAAGTGTCCGTCTAGTAGAAAGAGAAAGAAGATGAGAGATGAGCATGGCATCCAATGGCATCACATCGAAATAATAAGATGGTTACGGTGGCCAATGCGCATGCGCGATTAGAGAGAGAAAGCTAGCGGTCTCTCATCTTCTTTCTCTTTCTATTAGAGGAACTCTTCCACTTATAGTAGAGTCTATATTTCCCCTACTCTATTCTTATACCTCTATGATTCCGAAAGTAGCCCAGGGCTGCGTACCAAACCTACGTTCCGAGAGCAAAATTTCACTTTGACGTTTAAATTTTGACATAAAATGTAGTAAACTTATGTCAAAATTGACATTTGTTCCACTCAGAGCGTAGGTTTTGTTACGCAGCCCAGTAAAATTAAGACGTGCACTTCATAGCCGTGAATTTAAACGGTAAAATTTTAAAATTACTATAAGTATAACATTAACAAAAAAGAAGACTATACGTAACAATAACAAAAATTTAATATTAGTTATCATGATTACAATAATATTTAGGTATGAGAAAAGATGACAAATCTGTTTTTTTTTTTTCTTTTACATAAATAGTTTTTTGTTTATGTAATTCCGAAAAAGTATTTCCTAAGGGCCTGCGCTGCGTTAAGCTTGAACACTTCATTCCATAGAACAGCGCTGCGACGGGAGACCCGCCTTACACAGCGTTACTCTACGATTCAAAACGATTGTTAGCACCAATTAATTATAGGGTATTTGACAAGTTTTAGAAAACGATCTCACGTTATTGACTAATGTTTATGGAGTCCGTAAAAAGTGCATATTCATCATTCTGTTGTGTATTTCAGTGAAAATAACTAAATCAAAAACTCCATCTTCAATTTGCCGCGAAAACGTTTCACTGGACAATATGGCGTCTCACTGGTATGTGACGTCACACGATTGTCATTAAAACGTCAAACGATACAATGTCACTTTAACCGGAAGTTTACTAGCGTGCCACGTCATTTTAGGCTCCGCCAATCCCAGGCGTTTTCGGTCACGTGATAATAGATAAGAAAACTATTATCTTTTTCGTGGTTCTTTAGTCATATTGTGAATATTTATTCTGTAAAATTAGTAAAAACCTCTAACAATATTCATTTTAAATATAGATGCTAACAATTGGCACTTTATTTTTCATCATCATCAGCCTATTAATGTCCCCACTGCTGGGGCACAGGCCTTCCCTATGGATGGAATAGGGAGATTGGGCCATGCCCACCACGCGGGCCCAGTGCGGATTGGCGGGTGCTAACGACTGCAGATGCAGCCGGGACTAACGGCTTAATGTGCCTTCCGGAGCACGGAGGAACTCGAGATAGAAGATTTTTGGTCACCCATCCAATGACCGACCACTGCGAAATTTGCTTAACTTCAACGATCGTAGCCGAACGCGGTAACCACCTGCGCCATCGAGCTCCTCCTACTTTATTTTTAATATTGTCAAATACCCTATTTGGATAAAGTCAATTGTTTGGTTTGCTAATGCTCGTATTATGTTCGCATATAACCGTTTTTTTTATTAATTAAAATTAAAGTTAGGAACCGATTTGAAATAAGTTCTTTTACACTTTTAATTAACTATAATAATTTGATTTTGTTCCTTTACTCCTGACGTGTATACAATACAATAAATCTATTCTACATTTAATGAGTCTATTTATTTCGCGTTCAATGCACACTTAACACTAATAATCGTGTGTACACTATTTTATCATAATATTCTTATATAAGTGTTTCTATATTTATATGTTTATATATTAGTTATGTTTTTACATATAATATTTTTGTCCAAATCCTTTTTATATATTATCATAACGGATTTACACATTTTATTTTTGTAAAGTTCACTTTTTTTACATACGAAGTAAATTCGTATTTTGCCTCTATCATAAATTATATTATTCATAATTTTAATTTGATTTCAGGAACTATTGCTTTTTTCCTTAATATATTAGAAAACAATCATCCTTCAATGTATTCTATCGAAATACTCAATCATAATTCAGAATATATTTATTTATTTATGTATGTGTAACATGACCGATGTATTTTTTTGCTTGTATGCACTTATGAAAAAAAAGTAATCCTTTATTACGTTCATCCGTTGTCATAAATATCTACGCATTCATAGAATAACGACATAAATCATAATAAAGAAGTTGAATGATTGAATCCAATTAAATTTGTGGAGCTGGCGAATAAAACGGTTTTTTTATATAGAGGTAGGCAAATGACTCTACCCCACCTGATGTTAAGTGGTAATAAAGTCCAAACGCGAAGATAACTGGTATAGCAGTTATAAACTGCTACACCAATCATCCTCACCTTGCCGGCCTGCAAAAATGATTCTTCACGGCTCTCTTAAAGGACCCCAGATTATAGGAAGGAGGGAACACTTGCATAATTACGCATCTGGTCAAACTACTTTCTTTTTACAGTCCGGAGTTCTCGGGCCCGTTGAATTTGAATCTCAAATAATTTTCAAACAAAACCGCCTAAAACAGTGTTTAATTAAAAACCAAGCCAAAAGCTCACTGGAGGTATGTCATTCAGTTTTATACAGCTCCTGTAAAACTCATTTTATGTAAATATACCGTTTTGTTCGCCAGCTTCTTATTTATGATGATTCGAGTCCAATGAATATGAACTTAAAAAATGAGTTCCTCTATTTTTTATTCTTGCGTTACCGAAAGCCTTTTGAACATAATATATTAGAAGGAAATATGCTTTGGGTGATGGCAGAAATAACTTTTTATATCTTTCAGTATACTTATGATATTCATATAATTATATAATATGTTACGAACAGCTATTATTTTTTGGGAGTGTGTCGCGTCTCAATGTGGACGGAATCTTAGAAAAAGTAATTGAAAAAGTATTATTTAAAATAAATATCTTATTTCATGCTAAAATTGTAGCAAATAAGCACATTACCCGCCTGATGGTAATCTGCCACCATAGTTAGATAAGATAAGTACAATTATCAATATAAGTAGTTGTGTTAATATATTTTGTTTACGGATACGAGGTAGTGGAGCGCTTTCTTTATCACACAATCGTTTACAACACAACGTTTGACAAGGATGCGAAACTGCGTGACGCGAAAAAAAGGCTGTCTTTTATATATAACTATATATATAATAAGACAGTAATATATAACTACATATATTTACCCCAAAAATGTATTAAGATTGAAACAATCCTATAGCCTCTAACCTTTAGAGGCTATAGGATTGTTTCAATCTTACTATAAGTATAACATTAACAAAAAAGAAGACTATACGTAACAATAACAAAAATTACATATTAGTTATCATGATTACATTAATATTTAGGTATGAGAAAAGATGACAAATCTGTTTTTTTCTTTTCTTTTAGATATAAAGTCTTTCTGTCTTTTATATATAACTATATATATATAATAAGACAGTAATATATAACAACATATATTTACCCCAAAAATGTATTAAGATTGAAACAATCCTATAGCCTCTAAAGGTGTAGAGTTGTAATAAAAGCTTTTTGCTAATTACGATATTTGATTACAACAACGGATGAACGACAATATTTTCCAACAGCTTTTAAATATTACATTTATAGATGAACATTTCTAAGCATATACAAACAGGCATCCTCACAAGATAGTCGTCGGGAACAGATGAAGAGTTAGTGTCCCGGTCAGTCCCCTTTCCATTAGTGTCCCGGTCAGCTCCGGCCCGCTAGTGTCCCGGTCAATCCCCGGCCCGCTAGTGTCCCGGTCAGTCCCCATCCCAATAGTGTCCCGGTCACGCGTCCCCGTCGCGCGCGTCCCGCTTGGCAGCCACTATGGTGAGGTCGGGCCGCGTCCGCATCAACGCGGAAGGGGAGGCTGGGGAGCCGCGTAAAGTGTCCAGGCTGGCGACGCGGATTGTGGGCCATTTGCCGCCTGGAAGAGGTATAGTTTTAGAGAAATAACTAACAAGTTTTATTTAGTCCTATTAAAGGGATGTGAGGAGCTCGAAGGCGCAGGTGATTAGAGCTGCAACGATCGCAGCCGAACGCTCTAGCAACTTTCGTAGTGGTTGGTCATTGGATGGGTGACCAAAAATTTACTATCTCGAGCTGCTCCGTTCGGAAGGCACGTTAAGCCGTTGGTCCCGGCCGTATCGGCAGTCGTTAGCATCCACCAATGCGAACTGGGCCCGCGCGGTGGGCCATAGCCCAATCTACCTATTCCATCCATAGATAAGGCCTGTGCCCCAGCAGTGGGGACATTCATAGGCTGATGATGATTTAAAACATGCAACAAAAACACATACACAAAACTTTGTTTCTGAAACATGTTTCTCTACACACGCCGTCTAATGCTCACGTGGCTGCGGTACACAAAATACACAGGGCTACGTTCAAAAACTACTATCCAAGTGATCAACTAAAGTCACATTAGACAAAAGTTTTGTAAATTTTATGTCAAAATTTAAACTTCAGAGTGAAAAGTTGTACTCATAAATATGTATAGTGAAACAAAGTTTTGTGTCGACGATTTTATTGAATGTTGGTAGGTTTTGTTGTAAAGAGCAAAACACGCGCTGGAGACCCAGCTTAATAGACTACTTGACAAGTTTTTGAAAACGTTATAAATTATTTGAGAATGCATAATATATAATATGTATAATTATGTATTTCCAACACTCACACCAATTAGCCTAGCCCCAAAGTAAGCAGTGTAGGGCTTGTGTTATGGGATACTAGGTTAACGGATAGAATACATATACAGTACATATATAAGTATATTTATATAGAAATACATATTAAACATCCATGACTTGAGTATTCATCACACAAACATCTGCCCCCACCGGGATTCGAACCCCTCGAGTCGGCGACACCATGAAACCCGGCGTGAGACTCCATAGAAAGTAGATAATAATGTCAACAAAAGGTACAACAATAATTGCTATTAAATAATGGCTATCATAAATAATTTAAAAAAAAACATGGTGAAATCACTTAGGACCCGACAGTAATGCAAAAACGTAGAAAGGACATTATTTGTAAACATCATAGAAATTACAGAGCGGTCTACGTTCAACGTACATATGGCTTTTTTCAATATTTATAATAAAATCAGAAGTTGTATTAGTATAGTATACATCTCAATAAAAATGGAATTAAAAAGGAGGTCACAAAATTTATTGCTTATATTAAACTTTGAAAAAACTGAGGATTTACTTGCCACGGTCATATATTAATAAGTGAAAAGACACACCCTCAAATCTATACGATAAAATACACGCACATATTTATGTACACACATACACACATAAAAGTTTTTTATCCTTCACTAAATAAACGTATTGTAATTTTGAATTTTTTCTTGTTTCTTATTTGTATTGGCTTTGTTCTGTATCTGAAAATAGGGGAAGGGCGCTGAAGCCAAAATACAGGATGAACTTCCTAGTTTGGCCGAAGATGTCATTTAATATTTAATGTAAAATATTAGCCTTAGTGTAAATAGTCTTATAAGAATATTACCATGTAAGTACGTGTAATTTATTGCAAATAAAAAATATTATTTATTATAGTGAGTGTAGTATTGTGCATGTAGTAAATAACTGTCAAGTGTAAACTGGCATTATAAAATTCGAGCCCCATCCCAACAAAAAACATTTTATTAAATAAACTGACGACCTCCGTGGCCGAGTGGTTTATCCGCCGGGTTTCATAGTGTCGCTAGTATTGAATAAACTTACTGCTGGAATTGGATGTGGGGGTAGCCGCCTCACTGGTAGCTATCACTGTGGCTGGTATAGGATCATCGTCTGTCAAACTGCCGATCATTATCTTCTTAGTCTGCGGCTGAAGGGCAAACAAAAATTAATTAAAAATAAATTAAATTTTATAAGTAAAAATTTCTTTCGCGGCGTTGTACACTTTTTTTGTAATGGGTAAAAAATGTAAAACTCGCGCCAGGACACGTGGCCTGATCGCGTCAGGACACGTGTCTGACCTATTTTTCTATCAAATATAGTATTTTCCAAGCTTGTACCTCTTAAAATATAGTAGATTGAAAAAAATATAGTATGTGGTTAAAATATTTACTTTATTTTTGAAATGAGTATATTTTGCTGCTCTTTACCTTAATACATCAGTTTTAATTTTAAGAAAGCTTTTACTGGCAGAAATCTGCTTTAGGCGAAATATAGTAGTTTCGCCTACTATTTTTTTTTAGAAATATAGTATTTGATCACTAAATATAGTAGGATACTATATTATATAGTTGGGTTGGCAATCCTAGCTAAGTCCGTCATCCGTGTCTATGGAATGATACAAGAGGATCGTTTACCTTGTCTATGGACGGCGATGGTTTCTTCATAGGTTTGGGCGGCGCTGACGATGGTGTGCCCCCGGTATAGGTGCGACGCACCTTCAGAGACGGATCCACTTCAATAGGTATCGGGTCGAAATCTTAACGAAATAGCATATTTCATTAATATAATAATACACAAAAGTTAATAAAAAAAGAAGAAAAAACAAGTGTGCTTAAGACCACACGACTGAAGTGAAACTTATTTAGCTCCATATATATATATATATATATATATACTAGATGTCCCAGCGAACTTCGTACCGTCATAAAAAATAGGGGTTGGTGGTAAAGGGTGAAAATTTAGGGTTGTATGTATTTTTGTATGATATATCATAAAAACAAAAAGTTTTTTGTCCAAAAGAAAAAAAAATAAGGGTTAACATTTAGGGGGATTGAAAAAATATTTTGTCCGATTCTCAGACCTACTGAATATGCATATAAAATTTCACGAAAATTGGTCAAGCCGTTTCGGAGTAGTTCAATTACGGACAATGTGACACGAGAATTTTATATATTAGATGTGTATTCAATATATACATGTATGTACATATACATATTTCATTTACTAGCTAAAAGAGAAAGATAAAGAAAATGTGCGCGCACTGCTTTCTCTTGCTTATATCTCCCACTCAATTCACGTTCGCCTCGCCCGAACACACTTTTCGTAACGCATTCGCCAGCTTACTCCCCAAGGCAAACGTGCGTAAAGAAGTTTCACCTCAACAAACATGAGTGTCGTCGAACACTCGGTTGAAACGAAGTTAATAATAAACAGAAGTATTGTTCAACGGATTAAAAATAATTTGGAATAAGAACTGCGCTAAAATGTGGTTCCACGCAAACTGCAATCAAGTGGACGGGGTCAAAAAAGTGCGATTGGTTACGGGACTTTGCGGCTCCATTTTATCGTTTTATTGTATACATATCAGGTACACAGCTACACACAAAACGCTACGAAATAACTGACAATTGTGAAGGAAACTTTTTAATCTTTTTCTCGCAATGGTCGGTCGTTGGATGGGAGACCAAATATTTACTGTCTTGAGCTCCTCCGTGCTTCAGGAGGCACGTTAAGCGGTTGGTTCCGGCTGCATTTGCAGTCATTAGGACCCACCAATAGTACCCAGTAATGGCGACATTAGTAGGCTAGTAATGACATTCAGTTATTGACTACTTCCTCCTGAAGGTCTCGAGCGGTCCTAATGGCTATTTAATAAGTCGGTGGCCATATAAGCGGCGAGATCGTTGACCCCCTCGCGAGGGAGGCGGCTTCCACCGAGAGTCCCCTCAAGCTATAATCGATTTTATGCAGGAACATTGTTTAATCGATTATAAGTATCGAAATTATTTTAGTTACCAAAAAACTGATGTTTAATAAAATATTACAAAATCTCATTAGATTTATTATTTTACCTAGGACAAATATTTGTGTGATGAGTACGAGTATTTGTTCTGTGTCTGGGTGTGATTTATCTATAATATGTATTATCGTATATACAACAAAAAAAGCAGTATACTTCTATTCTTAGTAATCATTATGTGTGGCACATCACTAAGTGGGCGGTACCCGTCCATGAAGTACAAAATTATTTGTATGACATTTAAACGTAAATCTGTCAGAAAGATAATAAATGAATGGACAGACTATAAGTGCGAAACCGCGGGATCCCCGTTTAGGGATTCTGCCGCGTCTCCGCACCCAACAGCCTCCTGGCCTGGTCAGGGCTCCACGGCAGATCTCGGATCTCCAATGGACCCATGGTTTACCTAAAGTCACGGCCGGTCATAAATGGTGGGTAATTTAACAAAATTCTTCATGAAACTGCAGGAAGGCCAAAGGGGAAGATCTTCCTCCTAGCTGGATGATGGTAGCTCGGAGGCCGCAGCTAGACTGATGTTGGTCGGGCATTGTATGTATGGAGTGTTAGCCTCCGAATTTCTCTTGCGCGATATAGGCTTCCATACGTTGTGAACGCAGCGCCGGTAGCGCCATCTCTTGAGGAGGCGAGTGACTATTTCCTCCATATTGATTATATGTGTGGCATGTAGATGTCGCCGCCAGAAAACAAATACACTACCTTTGTCGGCGCTAAAGTCGGCCGCCATATAAGCGGCGAGGTTATTAACCCCCACCCCCAGCGCGAGGGAGGCGGCTTCCACTGAGATGTCTCCTCTCTGAAGCCGATCCAGCACTTCAGAAGGACCCTTTGCTTGCCAGAAGTCGCGAGCAGTTCTAGAGGGGGAAAAAGAACAAATCGTAAATTATAATGAAGACCCTTGGCTGACCAAATCGCGAGCGGTCAAAATGGTGACAAATTGTGGGGTTGAAGTTTGTAATGGAAACCGGAAGCCCCGGGTACAGGTAAGTTATTTATATTATGATATCCTAACTAATCACACTAATATTATTAAAAGCCAAAGTTTGTGAGTGTGTATGTTTGTTACTTCTTCACGTCTAAACGGCTGGAGCGATTTAATAAAATTTGGTATGGAGTTAGCTGAAACCCTGGATTAACACATGAGCTACCTTTTCCGGCGGGAAAATATCCCTAATAAACCGCGTGGCACAGCTAGTATTATGAAAACGTGAGTTTATTTGTTTGTTTGTTACGCTGTCACGCAAAAACTACTGAACGGATTTGGATGAAATTTGGTGCGAATATAGTTTATGACTTGGATTGAGACATAGAAGAGACTAAGGTATTGTATTTTATATTTACCTGTAAGGCCGGTTGATACATCCATAAACGTCTCTGTACCGCCCGTACAGAGTGCCGTAAGTGACTCCCAGGATTTCAGACGCTTGCTTTATTATGTATTTACCTGTACGGGTGGTTGATACAGCCATAAACGTCTCTGTACCGCCCGTACAGAACGCCGTAAGTGACGCCCAGGATTTCGGCCGCTTGCTTCATTATACATTCATATATTTACCTGTACGGCCGTTTGATACATCCATAAACGTCTCTGTACCGCCCGTACAGAGTGCCGCAACTGACGCCCAGGATTTAAGCCGCTTGCTTCATTATATATTTACCTGTACGGCCGGTTGATACACCCATAAACGTCTCTGTACCGCCCGTACAGGGTGCCGTAACTGACGCCCAGGATTTCGGCCGCTTGTTTCATTTCTAACTCCTTCATACGGACCGCTTCCATCACCTGGACATGATAATTATGGCACGTTATAGACAACAATGACTTCTTTTAATAAAGTGTTTGATAAAAGCAGTATCAAGACGCTTACTCCGAAATCCAGGGATCGAATGCTGGTACGGGCAAATGATTGTGTGATAAATATTATAAATACGACAGAAAGAAGCTTGAGTTCTATACAAGAAATGTGAAAGTTTGTATGTTTGTTACTTAATCACGCAACAACTACTGAACTGATTTGGATGAAATTGGGTACGCATACAGTTTATGCCCTGGATTGGCACAAGGGATATTTTTTATCCCGGAAAAATGTGAAAGTCCTTGAGATTTTTTCAAACAACTAAAGTTAACGCGGACGAAGTCGCAGGCAGCCGCTAGTATACTTACTAGTTTTGTAACCTCTAAAATCGTAAATATGAAACTTTGTATAAAAGTTACTTGATCAAAAACGACTGAACGGATATAGATGAAATTTGGGTCCCAAATATTGAACTGAGACATGGGCTCATATTTAAATGTTTACTGAAAATATACTAATTGATCCCCAAAAAAGCAATTCGTAACCTAACCTCTAGGTTACCAATTGTATGGTGATCATATCCACCGTAAAATAATAAGAGAAATAAAAGTTAGTTATTTAAGATATTAGTGCGGTAAGTTAGTTATTGCAGACATTCGTCAACTCAGTTGTAACACTGTGCGTCATTGCGGCATACCACAAGGCCGCATGCTACAATATTTATAAATGTCGCACTTTGTGGCATGGCAACTTATTGAAACAAAGAAAAATCATTTTTGGTCTATAAAACACAAGTAGGTAATAAAAAGAAATTATTAAACGATAAAAATAAAAACAAACAGAGAACAACAACATGAAGAGAGAAGAAAGGCCAATCAGGACCCTGCTTCAGCTTAATGCTGTTACAATGGGACGGGAATATTCCCACCGTAACAGCGCTGGAATTCTGGAAGGGCCTGCTATTGCGTCATGTATCCCAACACTATGGATTACGTGCGACATTCTTGTTACGACAAAACAGGGCAACGTTCCAAAGCTTCGTTTTGAATGCAACTTTTTACCATGACGTTTATATATTGACATAAAATGTATGTAACTTATGTCAAAGGCATTTTTTACGCCTGCAGCGTAGGTTTGAAACGTAGGTTATGTTATGTTTTGTTTTATAAGTGAGAAGTAAATAATCGGTCATGGTGTGGTGTAACGAAAAAAATATTTAACTTCATTGAGGATACAGTTCTCTGAAATGATCTAGGTACGATGTTGCCTCAGCGTGAACTGAGACTGCCGCATGTCGCAAATGACGCGAGATGTTTTTATTTGTAGCATGCCAGTAGATGATCCACGCCACAATATGTGGCATGCGATACTGCCGCACGTTGTTGCCTCGGCGTAAATAAGCCTTTATTATCAACTTACCGCACTTATATCATAAATAACTATTGCTGATGCAACAAATTGTGTCGCTACAAGTATCATTTAAATGTACAATTCCGCAATGGGCTGCTGACGGCAATTTCTTTTCCGAGCACGGCGTCATGCCGCGGCTGCATAATGCTAAGAACCATGCCTCAGTCACTCCAATGTCTTCGTGCGAGACAAAATGTCAGACAACGCTACAGATAATTTACTAATGTGTCTTTTGTTAGAAGAGGAACTATGTGGGCCAAATAAAAGACTATATTCTTTATTATTTAAGTTTACAGAAACTCCTACTCCGTGCTTCGGAAGGCATGCTAAGCCGTTGGTCCCGGCTGCATCTGTAGTCGTTAGCATCCACCAATCCGCACTGGGCCCGCGTGGTGGGTCAAGGCCCAATCTCCCTATTCCATCCATAGGGAAGGCCTATGCCCCAGCAGTGGGGACATTAATAGGCTGATGATGATATAGAAACAATAATATAATAAGTTTAAGACAAAATTCGTCTATGGACCATTGGAATTCAAATAGTAGGTACTATAACGGCTCACCCTCTTGACATAGTGCTCTTCCCAGAACTGCGGCCGTCTGCCGTGCTGCAGATAGTCGCTCAACTTCACCACGTCCGCGAACCGGGGATCCGTGGGACCTGATTTGGGGCCTACCGTCACTGTCGAAGATGCATACAGAACATATTGGCTCTCCATGTAGGGCATATACAAAGCCGGGTATTCATTAGCGAGCTGTAACCGTAACATGTGTGATACAGTACGAGGTTCTAGTATGTACGCTCAGTTGTAAACGTCGGCTCGCTACAAACCGCTCACAGCCGGTTAGCGAACCACGTACACACTATGCTTTTTGGTTATAGTGCATGCAACGGTTACGGTTATAGCTCGCTAATGAGTACCCGGCTGAATAAAAACATAATACGTGTAAATAGTGCGACAAGTATTTTTATCAATGTTGAAAGCAACGGTTTCTTTTTCTTAATTTTTGTGTACACAAATAATAGATTATTAACCAAGGGGATAAAGCAGTGTCTTCTGTCGCGGGTGATGATTTAAATCGCGAGCGTAACGAAGGAGTCGAGGTTTACTCCCGAGCGCAGCGAGGGTGTTAAAAACTTAAATCACGAGCGAAGCGAGGGATACAAGTAAATGAAAAGAAAATGAACAACCATCACAAAATTTTTAAACCGCTCTATACAATGTGAAATAACAAACATAAACTATTTAATTTTATTAGGATGTGATGTAATGCCTGTCGTGCTGTATAAACGTCCTTGTGGAGTTGCAACCCATCCCTGTTTTCAATTTTATCTGTTCATGCTTTGTATGTATTTGTTGTAATTCTGTTTTGTGTACCGTTTAAAATAAAATAAAACTTACGTTTAGTTCCGATTGGTGGCAGATCTATCTTGGAAGTGTCACGGTCTACTGAAGCGGAGGATGACGCGGCCGCAGATGCGACAGATAAAGCCCCGCCCGCACTGTCGTTAGAATCCTCGTCTGTGGAAACAAACAATAAAACCATGAATAGGCTATTTGACAGTATGAAAAATAAACTACCAATTGTTGGCATCTGTATTTAATATGAATATTAGCAGCGATTTCACTATTCAGAGAAAACTAAAAATTAATAACCTTTCTGAAAAATCATTAAATAGAAATGATTTCTTTGGTCTATGATAGCGTGACCGAAAACGCCTTGGGATTGGCGTAGACTAAAATGACGTCACACGCTAGTAAACTTCCGGCCAAAGTGATATCACATTGTATCGCTTGACGTTTTAATGACAGTCGGGTGACGTCACACACCAGTGAGACGCCATATTGTACAAAGAAACGTTTTCACCGCAACTTGTATTTATTTTTATTTAGTTTTTTTTAGTGAAATACACAACAGAATGATGAATATCCACTTTTTATGGACTGAACAAACATTCATTAATAACGTGAGATCATTTTCCAAAACTTGTCAAATACCCCATTAGCCACTGTCGAGCGAATCTGGGGTTTAACATGTAAAACAAGAAAAATTTAGATTTCCTTTTTCGATTTTTAGGTAACCCCTAGATCTCGGAAATTTCAATAATTGGATCTGATATCCAACTTGGATTCAGGTTTTTTTTAATTACACAGATCCCCCCTCCCTTGAATCCAATCAATCAAATCCAAATCCAATGGATGGATCGCAATTGCAAATCTGACCCCAGATTCGGATTTAGCGTCTACAAATTACGTAATAAAGAGAATTTCGAAGAAATATAAAAAGAACTAAAAAAATTTATATCTTAACAAGGATAGAGGCTTAGTATAGAGAGTAATTCAAAAAAGCTCTGGTCTCTTATCAAATCTTTATCACACAACAATGTCAAAATTAGTAGCCTGCTCCCGGGTTGAGGACCTCTGATAGTATTATAGTCAATGATCCGGGACTAGTATGTAAAAATTTTAATGACTTTTTTTCTTCCATAGGTCCAAAACTTGCTAATGAAATATCAGTCGAATTTCACCGAAGTTCTGGTTACTGTAACGAACCTCTAAATACTAATAATAATATTTTGTTAAATTTACACTCTGCAGTAAAGACGAAATTGCTGGTTTGGATAGTAACTCTGGTTCAGGCATAGACTGTTACAGTACCAAACAGGTTAAATGTATTAGTGTTATGGCTCAAAATTTCAGTGATTCCTTTAATAAATTATTAGAAGAAGGTTCTTTTCAAAGTTCATTAAAGAACACCATTCAAACCGAGTGTGCTCATAACATTACCATTTACCATTTTTTACCAGTTTTAATATAGTTATTGCGAAATTTATTCTTATCTTTTTATTTTACAAAAAAAGGTAAAACTTTAAAGTTCTTTTTCCAGAACAAGGTGCGGCGTTTTTTCACGCCCCATCAACTGTACTTGTTGTACAAAACGCAAGTGCGGTCCTTCGTGGAATATTGCTCGCACCGCTGGGATGGATCCGCTAAGTACTTACTCGATGCCTTGGATAGGTTGCAGCGGCGCGCTGCCCGCATCATTGGCGATGAAGACGATGAAGAGGGAACTAAGAAACTCGAGTCTACAATTACGTCGAGATGTGACATCATTAAGCGCATTCTAACGACTATACCACGGCGAGTGTTCTGAGGAGCTATTCTTGCTTATCCCTCCATCACCTTTTCTTCAGAGGACCACGCGCGCTGGCCTACGTTGCCACCGACTTATTGTGGCCACTATTCCTACACGAACAAAGAAATTTGGTGACTCATTTCTTTGTCGTACTATTCGTAAGTGGAATTCTTTACCCGCGCACGTATTCCCTCCTTCCTATAATCTGGGGTCCTTTAAGAGAGGCGTGAAGAAGCATTTTTGCAGGCCGGCAAGGTGAGGATGGTTGGTGTAGCAGTTTATAACTGCTGTACCAGCTATCTTCGCCTTTGGACTTTATCACCACTTAACATCAGGTGGGAATTTGCCTACCTCGCTATAAAAAACACATTAATTTGTGGGACTTACACCTTACATTGGTTTTTAATTAGCAATATATTAAAACTGGTAAAAATGGTAAATGGTAATGGTATGAGCACACTCGGTTATTATGGTGTTCGAATGTGAACTAACTTAAATAAATTATAATTAAAAATTATTGCACAAAATAAACTGGGTCAATAAGCAAAGTGATGACCGCGCGCTATGGATGCGAGTTGAATGCACTGTACTTCGTACACTAGCAAAGGTTTCTCCCGTCCATAAATCAGGTGCTAAAGATGATCCAAACAACTACCGCCCTATTGCTGTGTTACTAGTAGTGTCTAAGATATTGGAGAAGATTATTTTTTTACGTTTGGATGAATATCTCACGGCTTTAGGCCTCTATCGAATACTCTAATGTGCTACTTTAAATTTGTCAGAATATTAAATAGTTTATTACCTGCGCTGTTATCCCCGTCGACTCGTAGCCTCGTGTGCAGGAAGGATCCTATATCTGCAGGCGTGTCGGCCCACTCGTCGTCGGACGCGTCTCGCGACCAGTCGCCCGACAAGTTGGCCGACAAGTTGCCGGTCGCGCCCACAGCCGCCCCGCCCCAGTTCACCACCCGTTCGGCTGATATGTCCTGCGATGGCAATAAATACTTATTTTGATGCTACAAAATATACTTATCACCTTTTCTTCAGAGGACCACGCGCGCTGGCCTACGTTGCCACCGACTTACTGTGGCCACTATTCCTACACGAACAAAGAAATTTTGTGACTCATTTCTTTGTCGTACTATTCGTAAGTGGAATTCTTTGCCCGCGCAAGTGTTCCCTCCTTCCTACAATCTGGGGGTCCTTTAAAAGGAGTGAAGAAGCATTTTTGCAGGCCGGCCGATCAGTACTGCAGCGGCGCAATTTTGTAAAAGGGCTCTTAAAGAGAATCATGTCATGTAAATCATCAATCATAGAAACGAGTCCACTGTCGCACTAGGTTACATCTGCAAAGATACTGAAAAGAAATGAAAATGACTTACCAAATTGCCGTGTTGCCATTCTGAATCTTTCTCCCTGTTAAAGAAGAAAAAAGATATCAATAGGATATTATCACAAAAATCTTTAAAGTACAACCAAAGGAAATCTCACTAGAGAAAAAAAAATTCGTTGATATCAGGCTGGAATCGAATTAGCATATTTCACAATCCCGGGCGAGTGTGCTAACCAGATTATAGTACTGCCAACGAGAAACGATATAAAATGTACAGTTTGTCTATAAAGTTGTGACATGAATGTTTGAGGAACTAACATTAATCATGTGTCTGGCAACACCAAACATATGTACATCAGCTGTCATCGAGTTTGAGTTGTGGAACAATTTTCCTTTTGTATTTTTTATTGTTTTGATTAAACTGTAATAAATTAAGACGAAACTACGCAGAAAGGTATAAAAATGAGTAAAGTAAATTGGAGTGGCACGCGGGAATTGATTTTGTGGGATTTGGTTGATGTTTATGGGCGAACAGCATCTATGACGGGTATGTAATCGTGTTACTATTTGTTTGTAATCTGCCTGAAGTTACAAATTTACTCAATTTACGATTTTGAGACCAAAACAGGCATTGTTTACATTGCACATTTTTAGGTTAGATTGACATTGTAAGTAGGTAATATTGTAGTACGTCCATTTCCTTTGATACGTTGGGATGGTACAACTCAGTCTGGTTTTTTACCAATTTTGAATTAATTGCTTCATGTCAATAAGTTATTGTTTCTATTCCGTTACATACCTTTTTGATTTTTTTCAGGAAAATCAGAGAGTACATATAGGCGGATAGTCAACGAAGGTTTTGAGAATGTTGGAGAGTTTGAAACTCCTGGGAAACAAAGGCAAGGCCGACCAAAGAAAGAAATTGACGATTTATTTTCCCACAGTCACAGAGAACCATGGCCAGATGCTTTTAATGAAGATACTTATCACTAATTTTACTAACTGCACATTTACAAATTGTTTCTCTAAATAAACTTTTTATATACTGTAAAATGATTTTTAGATAGATAGATAGATTAACACTTTATTATAACACCAAATAAATAATTACGTAACAAATATAATTATTGTAATTATTTTCTTAACAAGTGGGGCGTATCTATATAAAAAACGGCGTATGATACACGTGTGTATTGATGATTACCATCCTCGGCTCTCTTAAGACCCTCACCTAACGGTTCTGGTCTTAATCTCGCCTCAGCGGTAATCACCAACATTACACACTTGTACACAATAATGTACTATTTTATCTATAATAATTTTATTCTGATTCTATTAAATATGCTTGGTAAAACTTTTTATAAAAGGAAAAAAAATGACTGTATGGTGTGTCTTAATTACTTATTTTACTTGAATGAACTGCTAGTATCAAAATCATTTTGGTCAGACTGTATAGGGTTGCTATATGCATACTAGAAGCGCCATCATTTAATGTCACGACTTTATAGACAGACTGTAAACAAAGTCTATTAAAGGTTGCATTAACCCAATACAGGGGTTGGCAAAAATTGAAAATGACGTTTTATACTATGATAATTAAAATAGGACGTTTATCATTTCATATATTTTAATAAAATATAGAAAACTATCATTCATATTATCAAAACAGAAAATCTTAAATCATTTTTTATTTATTACCATGAGTAGTATCGAAAAGATACAATATGTAAATATGTAATATTTTTTTACTGCCCGTTTGACGCAACAATACAGAACTATGTCATATATATGAGACGTAAGAGATACTTATTAGACACTATCATAATACCTTATTACAAAACATAGGCTAAAGTTAAACCTGGTTTAAAACAGATGCTATCACTTTTTTATCCTAAAAAGATAACAGAGACAACATTAGGGTTTAAACCAAGACAAACTTTATTCCGCGTTTTAAAATGAAGCAGCTTCCTTATAAATAAACGAAGAATTAGCTTGGATTAATTACTGCGTCATGGTAGTTGTTATTGAATGACAAATGGCATTTGAGTGATGTGAACAAAACACGGCGTCACTATATATTGTTTTAAACTTTCATGGTCACTAACATTATAGCTATTAACGGGATTGTTACCGTGTACCTTGTTTTTTATGAGTCTCCGATATTTCGGCACTGTTGCAAGCGCCATGATCACCGAGTATCTGAAGTAATTGCGGGTAGAATTTATAGGCAGACATATCGGTCTACCCTCTAACGACGTCTTTTACTGCGCTCGATACCCCTATCACTGGTCACATTCTCACTATTCACTCGCACTTGTTCCCGACACACAATATCGGAGACTCATAAAAAACAAGGTACATAGTAACAATCCCGTTAATAGCTATAACGGTGTAACTAGTCTAAGCTTATTTCTCGTTTATTAATAAGAAGCCTAGAGTTCTCGAACGATTTAAATAGTAATAAAAAAAACTTACGATATGGAATGTGACGCCGATTCATCGTCCGTATTCTCGGTGCCGCTGGGTAAACGCTGTCTCTTCGGACTTGGTGATTCACTGCTCAAAATATGAGAAAAAAAATTGGTTATCAGTTTATCAATGACCCTGTGGCGGTGACATCTACATGTCCCACATATAACTAACGAATGGAGGAAATAATCACTCGCCATTTTCAAGAGATGGCGCTACCGGCGTTGCGATCAATAAGTATGGAAGCATACATCGCGCAAGATAAATTCGGAGGCAAACACTTATATACAATGCCCGACCAACATTAGTCGGGCCGCGGCCCCAGAGCTACCATCATCCCACTCGGAGGAAGATCTTCCCCTTCGGCCGTCCTACAACCCTACTGCTGGTAGAATTACGTAGAGGAAACGGCTAAAAAATGGTGGAATGGTGAGTGATAACGACTGCCTCCCGAAGCACAGCATCCGATAATTATTAATATAGATGATTAATCGTTTCTTAACTTTCACAAACCCAGAAGAAAAAAAGGAAAAATTACGACTTAGTCATTGTGAGATGTGGTCAAATAAAGATGTAGTAATTTTACGATCTTGTCTTTATTTCATGTGGTCTAATAATGATTTAGTCATTTTAAGATCTAGTCATTATTTCATGTGGTCAAATAAAGATGTCGTCATTTTAGGATCTAGTTGTTATTTCATGTGGTCAAATAAATATGTAGTCATTTTAGAATCTAGTCATTATTTCATGTGGTCAAATAAATATGTAGTCATTTAAGAATCTAGTCATTATTTCATGTGGTCAAATAAATATGTAGTCATTTTAGAATCTAATCATTATTTCATGTGGTCAAATAAATATGTAGTCATTTAAGAATCTAGTCATTATTTCATGTGGTCAAATAAATATATAGTCATTTTAGAATCTGGTCATTACTTCATGAGGTCAAATAAATATGTACTCATTTTACGATCTAGTCATTATTTCATGTGGCCAAATAAAGTTATAGTCATTTTACGATTTAGTCATTATTACATGTGATTAAATAAAGATATAGTAATTTTGCGATAAGACATTAATGGGAGTTAGTCACCCTGCGACCTAGACAATCTGAGATCAACCCGTCAGAACTATTGACTTATCAATAGTTACGTGTAACAATATAAGTATAATTTATTCAGTATGTGATATCACATGTATTCGTGTGTATATATCATATGTAATACGTGAACACGAATACATGTGATAAAAAGACCATTTCTTTATGTTAATAGGCTCGTAAATAAACATATGGCCGGCCTAATGGTAAGCGGCCATCATAGCTTATAGACGCTTGCGATACAAATAATATCACTCACACCGTTGCCTACCCTGACCCAGTCCCCTACCCCGTGGAGCCCTGTAATTTTAATCACCGGCAGAAACACAACACCACCAAAAGGTAGTGTTATTTTACTGTAGGCTTCTGTAAGGTGAAGGCTGCTTCCCCAGACGGGCGCTCCAATTCGAGCGGAAATTCCGCTATACCCAAGCTCTCTCCCTTACCCACTAGCCCCCCTTATTAATAAACTAAGAATAAGCTTGGGTTAATTACTCCATGTTTTATGTCTGTTTATTGAATGACAAATGGCATATGAGTGACATCTTAGATTAAAATAGAAAGTGAAGATACGGCACTCGCCACTTAAAAGTGTACCGTGACCATAAGTAGCTTTAGTCACAATTGGACATTCAAACACGCTGCATGTGTACTCAATATAACAATATTGCGTATATTCTGTGTTATAAAGATAAAACAATTCCTTCGAAGCTTTTATAGAGACCACAAATAGTTCAAGATCAAATAACAAATTTCATGGCAACACTTTTCATTCGTAAAACAAAATTTCTCATTAATCACGGTTTGTCAAGAATATTATTTACTTATTCGCCATTTGTTCAGCTTACTTCAGCTCAATCGTGTGTAGAGAGAGAAATTAAACGCAGTCGGTTGCTAAGCGACGCGGACTCGCCGTTTCGCTCGAGCTGCGTTGAAGCGTACAGTACTCATAGCACGAACCAATATCGAATTCGTATCGTTTGCGAGTCCGAAATGTCATTGTCAAATGTGTACTGGTTTTTAGATCGCGTTACGTTCAAAGTGGCGCTGCTGTTCAAATTTCTATACAAAATTTGACATTGACATTTCAATTTGCAAACTATTCGAATTCGATAATGTTTTTTGCTAGGGGTACAGTTCTGTCTAGCTTGCTCGATTGAATATTTATTTACAGACATACGTGTGCATGTGTGAGAGTTGCTTATAGAGTTGAGTCGGAGCATATTTTATCTGATGCTAGTATGAGCGTACCGTATCTACCCTTTTTATTTTAATCTAAGAGAAATGAACAAAACACGTCGTAACTAGTCTAAGCTTATTCCTTATTTATCATTAATGGGGTGGATGTATAAACTATAATGGAAGGATTACTCACGAGTCTGAGTGTTCCCTTTTCAAGGGGTTGGATTTTTCTTTGATGGGTAGTTTTATTAGTGGTGGCGGGCCACCTGTAAAAAAAACATTGATTAAGTATTTACAAAGAGCTAGAAAATTTTAAACCCTTACAAACCATAGACAACGAAGCCTGCGCTAAACCCTGTCAATTATTTTCTCCCCTATACAATTTATAGCTTTTTTATATTCTCAATATCTCCATACCAAATTTCATCGAAATCGTTTCAGGAGACAGGCATAAAAACAGTCTTGAAATATATACATTTACTAATTTATTGCATTAAGTATGGATTATTATATTGTCATAAACGCTCTCGAAACAAAACCGCGGAAATACTGGAGACAGGTTTTACCAGAACACTGCGGGTCGCTCATTCTAATATGAGCCTTTTGCAGTTAGGCGTAAGGGAGAAAGTGCAACGACACCTGCACTTGTTTTAGAACTTATGCGCGTTACATACGTATAAGCAGGTACTACGCACTCTCGGGTGCTAGTTAACTCTCAATTTAACAGGACTTTTCTAGAATGCGTCGATTGGCTTATATAAGCACGATCGGCGCCGCGCAGTAGACAGTTTTAGTTCCAAAGACTTGTATAGTAAAGTACGGTGTTTAGTGAGTGTATTGTGATTGACATTATGTTAAATGTGTGGTGAATAAAGTACTGGCAAGCGTGAATTCGCATATAAATTCGAACCCCATCCCGACACGTTTTGCTGAGTTTCTTGCCGGTTCTTCTCAGAACAGAAAATCTCCCGCCGTAGATTTACGAACCGATGGCATAGCTTCTTTACATTCATGAGTGCTTCTAACAGCCTAAACTGAATAATTTTGATTTTCATTATTATGATTATAAATCTGAATATTCACCAGTCACCTTTCCGCTTATTGGCCTTTACAATATGCTTAGCAACCAGAATCGCATTTGGAACTCGAGTTATTTCAATATCTAAATTAAACTCACCGTTAACATTAATTTTTTCCCTAACTTCGGTATCAACAACTTCCGTCTCAGTTTTCAAACTCAAGTTTCCATCCTCCGTTAAATCTGGCGTACTGGGCTTCGGCGACGCATGCTTCGGTGACGCTTGCTTCGGCGACATCTGCTTCGGGGACGCTTGCTTTGCTTCCGCTTGCTTCTCAGGCGGTTTTTGTTCCGGTTTCTTCACTTGTGAAGCGACCGCAGTGAAACAACCTACCTCTGTAAAATGTAGATAGATAGATAATACTTTATTGAACACACCACATTATAGAGTACAAAGTTTGGACACTAATTTAAAAAGGTGGACAATGGGCGGTCTTATGGCTATGTAGCCATTTCTTACAGACAACCTAAGGATAGAGCGAAGAAATTTAAAGAGGGGGTGTGCAATTACAAGATTAAAATAGAAAAAAAAGAAAACTAAATATGACCATGATTAAAATTACTGTTCATATTATAAAATAGAAACTGATAAAAAATCAAATAAACAAACAAGAACATACAGCGGTACATAAAATAAAATACAATTTTACTTAATATTTTTTTATAATAACCATAATTATGATGCAAGCAAGAACAGGGAGAATGCATGGGAACAACATAAACAATTATTGTAAAAGGAAAAATTCCTTTACCTCACTTTTAAACTTTCCTTATAGTCTGTGCAAATGTGTAATAAATTGAAAATAATGTAGTGTGATGAGTGACAATATAATTTTATAACTTTGATTTAATTCGATACTAAAATTTCATTACGAATGGAGAAATGTAGCATTCAAATTGAAGTCTATTACTAATTTCAGCATGGAGAGATTTCTCATCACACACATTACAAACTATACCAAATGTAAAATTATATTATTAAAAGATTGTGAATCTCAAATCAAGCGATATAAATAAATATTTTCAACACTCACACCAATAAGCCTAGCCCCAAAGTAAGCACTGTAAAGCTTGTATAATGGGATACTAGGGTAACGGATAGAATATACAGGGCGTCCCACGGCTACCTCACACGGAGGGAAAGTATATTAAATATTGAAGGCCCCACTGCTGCCTATTAATGTCCCCACTGCTGGGGCACAGGCCTTCCCGGTGGATGGAATAGGGAGATTGGGCCATGACCCACCACGCGGGCCCAGTGCGGATTGGTGGGTGCTAACGACTGCAGATGCAGCCGGGACCAACGACTTAACGTGCCTTCCGAAGCACGGAGGAGCTCGAGATAGAAATTTTTGCTCACCCATCCAATGACCGACCACTGCGAAAGTTGCTTAAGTTCAACGATCGCAGCCGAAAGAGCGCTTGCGCCATCGAGCGTCTTTAATTATTAATTATTCGAATCTAATCAAATACATAATCGCAAATAGAACATATGAATTAGAGTTAACTTAAATCTTGTTGCGGTAGGTCGAAGAATAATAAGGAAATCGATATTGTATGCAGTCTGCATATTTGGTATGCGGATATATCATAGATGTGCAGCTGATTTCTTCGCCATAAGTATTTCGAAGGTCTTGAAGCAGCATATTCCTCTGTATTTCAAATGAACCGCAAGAAAAAAGATATGGTCCAGTGACTGATTTTCTATGTTGCAGAAGTTACAAACAGGTAAGCTGGCCATCTTGAAACGGATGTTTTGTTACTTTTTCCATCTACGGAAAGCAAATGCTGCGTTGTACATACAGCCTCAGTTTAGTGTTTTTTTTTCCATATTTTCCTTGCCTAAAGGAATTAGAACTAAGGAACTGTGAGTGAGGGATCTAGGAACTATAAAGTGCGTGTATTTGACCTAGTTATTTTACGAACTAACCAAAGATGATGAACTCACCTGGGTCGCAGTCAGGCGGTTCATCCTTGTTGTTCCACCGTATGTCCGTGAGTCCTTTGATGCGAAGGTCCTCAGCTGTCTTCAGTAAACTCGCTAGCTGTGACTGCGAGAAAATGAGAAGAGATTAATAATTATATTTATATCGTAACTCGGTGCCGTCTACCATGAGCAGAAGCATACAGGGAATGTACTGAGCATTCCTTAGCCAACTGGAAGATAAATTCGTAAGCGAACTACTGTCCGCTCGATCGCTTCGTCTGTGCATGGTCACAAGCACATGCCTTTTAGGGTCTGTGCGGAAAGAGAATGGGCGTGACGAAAAACGGAACTAACTTTAAGATTTTTATTTGGCAATCAAACCCAGCAATCTGTAAAACGTCAAAGTTTTATATTGATACGGATTTGTTTGTTATTGTGATTTCTTGCGGTTTTTTGTATTTAATCATGTTTAAAAAAGGGTCAATACGGTAGAAAAGCACTACAGCGCCCTCCAATCTAAATCCCATTCTCTTTCCGCACAGACTCTACTGATGGAGTGATGCTGAAAGAGGGAGTTATTTTGCTTCTTCTAGAGTAGAAGTTCTAAAGAAGTACCAGGCTATCAGGGGTTATGAAGAGGTCGTATATTTTCATGGTTTACGTTCTCACCGGTAGACACATACCCTCTTATTAATAAACGAAGAATAAGCTTGGATTAGTTACTCCATGTTTTGTCTCTGGTCATTGAATGACAAATGGCATTTGAGTGATATGAACAAAACACGGCGTAACAATTCCAAGCTTATTCCTGGTTTATTGATAAGGGAGAGAGAGAGTGCAGTAAGGCGCGCTGATGGCTTGGTTCGGCGCCGTCTATAAGGAGCACGGGCTCGCCCTGCGCCTCGTGAATGAAATAGAGTAATTTGCTGTTTATAGTTAAAGAAATACCAGGCTGTCCTAGGTTATGAGGAGGTCGTATCCTCACATGATGAAGGTTCATCTTCCTGAATGTACTCCACTATCAAGTGGGGTAGGGTAATTTGCTGCACCTAATATATCGAAGTACCAGGCTGTCATGTCAGGTCCGATTTGTTTTAAATCGGTATAAGAGGTCAAAAAAATTGGGATTTAGGGTTGCAGATCGGGACAGTAAACAAAAAACAAGGGGTTTTTAAGTTTGGTTTTAATTTATTGCGTTTTAAACTACTAGTGCAAGTAATTTATATCTAATACATAAAATTCTCGTGTCGCGGTGTTTGTGGTTAAACTCCTCCGAAACGGCTTTCCCGATTCTCATGAAATTTTGTGAGCATATTGGGTAGGTCTGAGAATCGGACAACATCTATTTTTCATCCCCCTAAATGTTAAGGGTAATCAAAATTTTTATTTTCAATTTTAGATTTTCTTTTTTTTTTATGATACAGCATTAGTAAATACATATAACCCTGAATTTTCAACCCTTTACAATCAACCCTTATTTTTTTATGGCGGTACGAAGTTCGCTGGGACAGCTAGTTATTATATAAAATTCTCGTGTCACAATGTTAGAAATCAGAAATCAGAAATCAATATATCTTTATTCAAATTGGATGTATAGTACAACACTTTTGAATCGTCCAAACATTTTTTTTCCCTACCACTCGTTATTGGACATATTTTTTAGCTGCGGAGAAAAACGAGCGAAAAAAACTCCACAACATTAAAAGCATAATGTAACAACATTTACAAATCATTATGTTGTTACAACGTCAATACAATCATGATTTATTTAATATAGAAAACCTGTTGGAATGATTGGAACAGTTCAAACCCAAGCATTCTTGTCTGTAATATAATCAGACACTTTGTAATAAGCTTTTTTAATAAGTGTTTTTTTTATACTATCTTTGAATTTATTTATGCTTAACTCTTGGATATTGCTTGGGACTTTATTGTATAAGCGAACACAAAGACCTTTAAATGAATTATTGATTTTGTGAAGCCTAGTAGCAGGTAAAGTTAGTTTATTTTTGTTTCTTGTATTAAGTGTGTGAACATCACTGTTTTTAAGAAACAAATTAATATTTTTTCTTACAAGTAATAAATTTTCGTAAATGTATTGTGATGCGACCGTCATTATACCAAATTCTTTAAACCTATCTCTTAAGGAATCCTTAACTTTAAGATTATAAATTGATCGAATAGCTCTCTTCTGCAGCACAAAAATAGTTTGAATGTCGGCGGCGTTTCCCCACAATAAAATTCCGTACGACATTACACTATGGAAATAACTAAAGTATACTAATCTGGCCGTATCTACATCCGTTAACTGGCGTATCTTCATTACGGCATATGCTGCAGAACTAAGTCTATTTGACAATTTATCAATATGTGGGCCCCATTGAAGCTTAGAATCTAAAGTAATCCCTAAGAATACTGTGGTGTCTACAAGGCCCATATTCCTATCCTTTACATTCACACTGGTTTTTACCTGTTTTACATTAGGTAATACAAATTTAATACATTTCGTTTTTCCTTCATTTAGTAATAAATTATTAACATTAAACCAGTGGACTACCTTAGAGATACAACTGTTCACGTCGTCAATGACTGTTTCCTTACGTTTGAGTTTAAATAAAAGTGATGTATCATCCGCGAACAATACTATCTCATGCTTATCTCTAAAGTTAGTTAGTTAGTTAGTTACCATACTCCTCCGAAACGGCCTGACCGATTTTTATGAAATTTTATATGCATATTCCGTGGGTCTGAGAATCGGCTACTATCTATTTTTCATAAACTTAAGTGATAATGGTTGTCCAACTGTAACGTAGTGATCTGAAACCTACAATGCGCCTTCGCGCCAAAGTTCAAACTATTGAGTATTGTAACGTAGTGCTCTCATATGGGTTAGGAGGAATGTATTATCCCAGGAAATTGATAGAACACTACGTTACACACCCTTAAAATTTTTTTGGACATTATATATTTTTTTTATAATGTGGTATTAAAAAATACATACAACCCTAAATATTCTCTTCTACCACCTGCCCCTATTTTTACGGCGGTACGAAGTTCGCTAGGTCAGCTAGGAGTATTATATTAATTACCTATATTTAATTTTTTGATTAATCGGGACATTCAGCGTCCCCAGACCCCTGAAAATCGGGACATCCCGCGCAAATCGGGACACCAAGTAACACTAGTCATGAGGAGGTCGTATACTCACATGGTGTACATTCATCTCGCCGGTGTACATGTAGTGCAGTAACGCGCGCAGATGCCGCGGTTCGGCGCCGTCTATCACGAGAACGGGCTCGCCCTGCGCCTCATGCGCGCCCAGCAAGGCGCCCAGAAGTTCTGAACACGCGGCCAACACCACTCTGCAGATATGCCAGACAATTACAGATTGTTCGGCGGATTAGCGGCAAACATCTTGAGTAAAGGCTTGAACAAATAAACTTGAGTAAAGACGTTTTGGCTGCGTTGTTTATAGTTTCCGTTCAAGATGTTTGACGTCATAATCATCATCATCAGCCTATTAATGTCCCCACGGCTGGGGTACAGGCCTTCCCTATGGATGAAATAGGGAGATTGGGCCATGACCCACCACGCGGGCCCAGTGCGGATTCGCGGGTGCTAACGACTGCAGATGCAGCCGGGACCAACGGCTTAACGTGCCTTCCGAAGCAGAGAGGAACTCGAGATAGAAGATTGTTGGTCACCCAGCGAAAGTTGCTTAGCTTCAGCGATCGCAGCCGAACGCGCTAACCACCTGCGCCATCGAGCTCCTCAGTTTGACGTAGTGTATATATTTAAGTATATAATTTACAAATAAAACATAAATTTACCGTTTACTGTTAAATTTATACAACCTTGCACTGAACGTTATAATTACAATATTTTTTTCATCCCACCACCTCGGAAAGTGTAATTTTGCGCTTCGAAATCTGGCTGGAAAATTCTATTTTATTCGCTTGAGCGGCAAAGTAGATTTGAATTTAGAACATCACATATAATGAGTACTCAATATAATTGTAAATTCAAAACGTCATTAAACCTATTTAATGTAACCTCTATGGTGCCAAATTTATGATTAGAACTTTTTAAATTGTGAAAAAATTTAAATTTGGAACCTTCTTGGTTTCTTTGTTTTATTTGCGTGCTTCGCGCCATTCTAGTTTTTCACGTTTTATTGCTTAATATAATTAACATAACCTAAAAACTGTACAAAAAAATCAACTAAAATGAGTGACATTAGCGACGATGAAGTTTATCTAACGCCAACTGAGTTAACTGAAACAGTTAATAATGCGCAAATGAGCCTTCTCCCTCAGCAATCACGAGAGAAGTATTTGAAACAGTACGATATATTTAACATGTGGCGACTAGCTAAAGGAGCAAAAACTTTCTCCGAAAACGTTTTGCTGGCATATTTTATAGAATTATCTGAGACCAAGAAAGCAAGCACTCTATGGAGTACGTATTCAATGCTAAAATTAACAATTAAGATGAAGAAAGACGTTCATATCGACACCTATCATAAATTAGTGGCATTTTTAAAAAGAGCCTCATCTGGTTATAAACCAAAAAAATCGAAGGTTTTCACAGCATCTGAAATTGCAAAGTTTATTAATGAAGCACCTGATTCCGTATATTTAGCGGCAAAAGTAAGTCAGTACGTGTAATTTTTTGTTGTTGATAAAATTGTACATAGTACTTACAATATTTTTAATTTGATTAATTTATTTACGATTATAAATACTTCTTTTGTTACAGGTTGTTCTTATTATTGGTATAACCGGAGCATGTCGAACAAATGAACTTACACTACTTAATGTCAATAACGTATCAAAATATTCTCATAATTCTGATGAATTGCTATTAATTAATGTACTAAATACCAAAACAAAAAAAGACCGCAACTTCGTTATTCGCAAGGAATATGTAAACATTGTTCAGAAATATCAAGCTTTACGTCCTTCTAACACCCCAATTGAACGATTTTTTCTACAATATCGCAACGGAAAGTGTATCCGACAACCTATGGGTCAGAATAAAATTGGCAGTATTCCACGAGAAATAGCAACTTTTCTCGGACTTTTAGAACCCCCGTTATACACCGGTCACTGTTTTAGAAGAACCTCAGCCACACTTTTGGCCGAATCAGGGGCTGATCTTCTATCGCTTAAGCGCCATGGAGGCTGGAAGTCTAATTCGGTTGTAGAGGGATACATAGAGGATTCAATCCAAAGTAAATCAAAAATTTGTAATAGTATCGTGGAGGCCATAACGCTGAAAGAACCTCTGTCAGATTCTTGGTCTCGCCCTTCTACATCTAAAATGAGCCCCCATAAGATTGGAAACAATAGCCCTCTCTCGCCAACATTTACGCCAATAGAATCCAATGAATCGGCACAACTATTTAAAATTACTGATACGAGTAGTTTACCACAAAACAGCGCACAATTCACAAACACCAACATAACATTACCTAACAAAAATATTAAACTTAACATAAGTAACTGTAGCAACGTTACATTTAATATTTCTTAATTATTTTCTACTTCTTATTATTTTCTTCAATTTATAGATTATCTTAATGTGTTTTAATTGAAATAAAAATATTTTGTCATTATAAATTGTTTTCTTTTTCATTTTGTCATTTCCTCGCTGAGGTGGGATGAAAAGTTACGTATTGCACTCGAGTGGAAAGATTTTTCACCTTGTGCTCGTTTGTTTCCCTCGCTGACGCTCAGGATTCTAATTTAGAATCACTCGCTGCGCTCGTGATTCAACTTTAGAATCCTTCGCTTGCTCGGTCATCCAAATCGAGCACGCGGTTAAAAAGGAACTTTCCACTCTTGTATAATAAATAACTATTTAATCCATATTTGCACTAAAAGTTGTCTAAAGCTGATTGAACTTGCGCTGGCACTGGTCCCAAGCGGTTCGAGATATCGTGTCCGTGGGCGGTGTTTATGTGTGCGTTGCTCGAGCGTACTTTGTATATAGATTACCTTCTGTTCTATCTATTTTGTGGTGATTGTGTCAAGTGTTGTTAGTACCTGTGAGCACGCAGCGAGACGCCTCTGATGTTTTGTGGCTCCACCGTGTCTTTGTCAGGCACTTGGGTCGCGAAGCTCGGCGAGCAGTACAGCGTCACGTCGCAAAACCGCTCTGGAAACCATTCATTACTATCAACATTTTTATTTTTATACAATTGGGAACATATAACATCTATTAAATAAAATTCTCGTGTCACGATGTGCGTAATTGAACTACTCCGAAACGGCTCGACCGATTTTCGTGCAATTTTATATGCATATTCAGTAGGTCTGAGAATCGGACAACATATATTTTTCATTCCCTAAAATGTTCTGGGTAGTCCACCCTTATTTTTTTTTCTTTTTTCTGTCATTTTTTTGTTTTTAATTTTTTATGATAAATCGTACAAAAATACATACAACCCTTAATTTTCTCCCTTCTACCACCAACCCCTATTTTTTTATGGCGGTACTTTTATACTCTAGATATTACTAAAATTTATAATGTAAGGGGCCATCCATAAATTACGTCACACGTTAAGGGGGAGGGAGGGGGTCGATGAAGTGTGACATCGTGTGACAAGGGGCTGGGAGGGGTCCTAAATTTCGTGACGTCACATTTAAAAATCTATTATAATCGAAATGTTGAAACTATAACTTTACGAAAACATAAACAACCCAAACGAGGACAAAGTGGTGCTATGCCTGTTATAAAAAATTTAAAGAAGCGGGCTCAATGTCTATGGACTCAAGATTATTAATTTTGTATCTTTAGTGTAATCATAATGCTATTCATATTTGTTTTGTTAAATTGTTGGATTTGATGTTAATATTATTAAAAAACAAATTTGAATGAAAATAAAACTAATTTCAGATCCGCTGTTTACACTCAATAATTTCTAAATTTTGTAAAATATGTGACGTCACACTAGGGAGGGGGGGAGTCTCATAAATGTGACCAGCTGTGACAAGGACGGGGGGAGGGGCAAAAAATCATGAAATTCGTGTGACGTAGTTTATGGATGACCCCTAAATATTAATTAGGAAAGTGTATAAAACCCACACCAATGTCCACAAATTAATGATGAAATGTCATAAAATAAACTTATAAACTTTTTTGACGAGCCATTTTTCGATTGAAAATAAGGTTACTTTTTCGTTATAATAACAATGAAAAAAGTCGATGGGGATCTCGATGGCGCGGATGGTTAGCGCGTTCGGCTGCGATCGTTGAAGTTAAGCAAATTTCGCAGTGGTCGGTCATTGGATGGGTGACCAAAAATCTTCTATCTCGAGTTCCTCCGTGCTCCGGAAGGTACGTTAAGCCGTTGGTCCCGGCTGCATCTGTAGTCTTTAGCACTCGCGAATCCGCACTGGGCCCGCGTGGTGGGTCATGGCCCAAATCTCCCTATTCCATCCATAGTGAAGGCCTGTGGCCCAGCAGCGGGAACATTAATAGGCTGATGATGAAAAAAAGTCGGCTAAAACAAAAGTTGTAATCTTCCCGAAAATCGCGAAAAATCTTCTTCGAAAAGGTTATGAACAACATAAGCCGATTCGATAAATAATTACCGATTCGTTAGTAATAGTACAAAACTATATAAAACCATGGTCTAACTTTATAATAAGTTTACGAAAAACTTTTCAAGTTTTAAAAAGAAAAATCGTTTTTAACTCAAAAACACTAGCCCTTAGGCAAAATCTTTAAAGGCTTAAGTAAATCAATTTAAATAATTGTTCTATTGTTATTATCATTAAGAAAATCATATTATACAAATAATAATATAATAATAGTCTACTTAGACGCCACATAACTCGCCATTTGTGTTGACCAAAACATGAAATTTATAAGATCGTTACTAGCGCTAGCTAGCTAGCAATATAGGATCGCTGAGAATAAATGTAGGCTTTTCGTTTTATTCCATCTTTAATATCAGCTATTTTATGCCATATTGTTAAAAAAATACAAAATTTTCAATAACTAGATGTGATTCGTATTTGATTACATAGGACTTTTTTTTTCGATAACAGGTTGACTTTTCGCGTCACTATTGCGATGTGTCAAAACGGACATCATAACGTACCACGACTAAAGTAATATAAGAATACGTTTCCGTTTGCTTTATCACAGTAGGTAGATATATATTTTCATTGATTAATTTCAGTTAACACACCCGAGATCTTGATAAAAATTTAAATGTAACTGTTCATCTATAGGTACCTAGGCTTTAACTTTAAACACTGACTGCAATGAAGTTAACTATTAAAGTAAAACTTTCATGAAATCGCCACACAACGACAAGATTGACGAAACCATCGACTCTTTAACGTCACTGGTGACCGAGAAGGCGAAGGAAAACTCGCGGGAGGTTGCGCTGCCAAAGCCCAAGCTCCCGCATCCGGAACCTAATCCAAGCCAAAAACGCTGCTCTCCGGAGAGCCAAATTGTACCCCACCCCCGAGTATAGGGCTACAGCTAATCGCCTTCAGCGACAAGTTAGGTCCCAATTAGCCGCTCTGAGACACTCCCGTTGGGAGGAACTCATGGCGGACATTACCCCATCCCATCTTGCGTACTATAGAATCGCGAGAGACAGATAGACAAAAATTGTAAAAAAAAAAAAAATTGGTGTATGTACCGTATATACAGGGCGTCCCACGGCAACCTCACACGGAGGGAAAGTATATTAAATATTGAAGATCGGATATTTTACTGAAAGCAGACAACATTTTATTATTAATAATAAATAAAACTGCATTCACAGTTTTATTTTAAAATCGCCTGTTACAACTGGGAATCAAACTCCTGAAATTTAGAAAAAAAACACGACATATTTTATGATAACCATCGAAAGGGTTAATCATAAGCATTATTTTTTGTTTATTACATAGCATTTTAAATGAAAGAAAAGTAATTAAATTGAACATTTTATTTAAAATTATTTTACACAAACTAACATTCGGATACGCCACAAAGTAAGTTCAAATGTTGAGTTCATCATCGTTGGTGTTTATCATCCGCTGCTGTGGTTTCTGTAAGCGCATGTCAAAACGTCCTAAATTTCAGTATCCACTAACCTTTTAAGCACATATCGAGAAGATACGTCTCCATCAGGATATCTTTTGCGGTAATACCGCAAAGCTAAATATGTCTTTGTGGTTCATAAAGTAAATCCATTTATTTTATTTTGATACGCCATGGTAAGTAAAATAACAAAAAAAATGCAAATAAACGAAAATGAAACTCAAAAAAAAGAACAGACGCTTGCAAATTTATGTGTTCCATTTTCGAATTATTATTTTTATAAATTTCAGCCAATCGCATTGTAACTGTGAGTTCAAAAAGAAAGCGTACGTACTTCAGTTTGTATAACACTTTATTATTTTTATCACGTAATAAGACATTCCTTTCATTTAAAATGCTATGTTATTTAACAAAAAATAATGCTTATGATTAACCCTTTCGATAGTTATCATAAAATGAGTTGTTTTTTTTTCGAAATTTCACGAGTTTCATTCCCAGTTGTAACAGGCAATTTTAAAAAAAATCTGTGAATGCAGTTCTATAGTTATTATTAAAAATAAAATGATGTCTTCTTTCAGTAAAATATCTTATCTTCAACATTTAATATACTTTCCCTCCGTGTGAGGTTGCCGTGGGACGCCCTGTATATTCATATGCATGTGTAAATTTGAAAAGTTTGCTTGCATCGTGGCTTCTTAAGACCACGCCCTATACTCCTTCGCTCCGAAACCAACATCGGTGAATAATAATTAGATTCGATTTCATTAAATTAAATGAGCACGATGACTTTTCCTTCAACATCTTCGATCTAAAAATCTATTTTTGTAATCGTACCAGCAGCACATGTTCGCTACAAAACAAACAGGAAGCGACCCGCTCTGGTGACGATAAAATTATATATTATTATATTACTGGCTTTTGCCCGCGGCTTCACTAGCGTTAGATTTGATTTTGAACTCAGGACTTAAATAAAAAAAAGTCTACTAAACTTATTTTATTTAGAAAAAGCAGGGCCGGATCTACCATATGGCTTTTTGGGCTTCAGCCCAGGGCCCCGTGGATTCAAGGGGCCCTAAAAATACATTGTTGAATATAACACCATTGATAGGTATTACCCCTATAACGGGAGGAGCAAATTAAAGAATTTGCCATTTCTGCACTTTGTAGAAAGGTTTCTTTGTAATTTGTCCATTTATTAACGATTGTAACACTAAGGCGTAATATATTAACATTTAAATTAAATAGTTTACTGTCATTTTTTTCTATACTTTGAGTAATTAGGTGGGCCCCTAAGTACTATTAGCCCAGGGCCCCCTAAACTCACGGTCCGGCCCTGAGTAAAAGGATTAATTAATCTCGCCTTAATTAACCGTATATTAGCCTTAACTACAAAATCCTCAATAATGTAGGGTGTCCAGTCTTTTTACCCAAATGTCCGGTCAAACTGGCTGGTCTGTCCGTTTATTAGGTTTGGAGACTTCAAAAGGTTCTTGGTTCATTTGTGGGTCAAGGTATACGTTACTATAATAAAATACCAAAAGAAATAATTGATTTACCTTTTAATAAGTTTAAAGTGTGTATAAAAACATGTCTCCTTAAAAAAGGCTACTTACTATACTGTTAAAGATTTCATAAATAATAAGGCACCTTGGGCTTAATATAATAAGTTGACTAAGTTGTTGTACTTTGCTGATTTGGTTGAAAATTGTTTAATCGCCACATCTTAATTTAAAAATAGTACCTAGCTATACTTAGCTTATTGTTAATTAATAATATTAATGTGATGAAAATTGACATCAACACATGTTTTAAATTTTTGATGTAATCTTTCAATTGACGACACTTTATGAAACAAAACTGGGTCAAAAAAAATTGCCCTTGCCGGTTCTTCTCAGTACAAGGTCTCCCGCCGTAGATTTACGGATCGATGGCGTAGCGTTTGACTTTCACAAGAGCTCGTAACAGCCTAGACTGAATAAATGAGTTTGAGTTTGGCAACCCTAGTTGTGTGTGACTCTAATAAAATAATCTTCATTCTGCTATTTTGAATATTTTATTATGTGAGCTGATGTGAGTGATTGGCTAGTTCGAGGCAAGCAAGCAATCTA